AATACATAGAAAGTAAAAAAGAAGTAAATAGAAAAAGAAATAAGAAGTAGAATTAATCGAAGAAGGCTACGAGGAGAAGTGAAATTACAGGGTGGTCCGAAAAACTTGTCACTCTATTTGTCTTCCAAACTGTAGGAGCTCGTGTCAACCATCTGAACTAGAAAATTAAAATATGGCAAAGACTTTCGGACCATCCTGTAGAATAAAAAGACGAAAAGTTGGACAAGAAAAAAAAATAAGCGAAAATTAAATAAAATACGAAGAATCCTTGTGGGTGATAAATTATTTCCCTTCACGGCTAGGGTCTGCTATGTCACCTACATTGTAGCAAACCACCCTTGTTCCACCCCACACGTTTCATCGGTGAAAAGTAAGATTCACTCGAACAGCTTCTTCCCGTGAACCACTGCTCTGTGGAACCGACTCCCAAGAGGATGTTTCCCCGATCACTACAATCTTAACCTTTTCAAGGTTAGGGTTAACCGCTATTTTCCTCTCCTATCGGCATAAACGGCTTCTTACTGTAACCCTCTACCTCGAGTGGCCCCCAGGCCTTATACAGGCAGAACCTTACTGTAAAAAAAAAAAAAGAAAAAAAAAGAGAAACATCGAAATAGAAAAAAAGAGAAGATAATATTGCCTCGCTCCCCAAAGAGTGAAGACGTATTCTGTTTTCCAGTAGTTTTCCTTAAAATAGAATACATCTATATTATAAAAGAAGCATTAATTCTCTGTCCGTCACAAAATGCGTGTGACTTTGTTAGCATATATATATATATATATATATATATATATATATAATAAATATGCGTATGCCTGTGTCGTACGTGAGTGGCTGACGTGTGTTTCTGGTATTTAATGTATACAAGCAGGCGCGCACATACACATACACATACACACGCACACGCAATTTGACTTAGTTTTAAATGACGTTGCCTTCGAACTCGGTCTGAACAACCTCTATCCTGGGATGAGCAGTAAAATCATACATTTGGAAATTCCCACTCCCCACAACAAAACAAAACAAAAAAAAACGTATACAGGACAATTTTAAAACAAAGAAAACTTTAAAAACACACAGGCGCACAGCCAGACACACACGCGCTCATGCAGACACACACACACACACACACACACACACACACACACACACACACACACACACACACACAGGAATTTTAATTTTTTAAACCCAAAAAGAGTCAGATAATCATATTTTTAGAAACTTTCGCAAATTATTCAGTAATAAATGTAACTATTTTTTCAATTTAAAAAATAGTGAAGAGATGTTTCGATGTAAGTTATTAAATTAAAAGACATGTACACACCGTACACACGCACAATTTAAATGAAAATAAAACGAGTGCCTGTGTTGCGAGACTAAATTTCTCCTTTTGTCTAGCAACAACCATTGGGGAACAGAAAAAAAAGTATTTAAAATGAATAATTCATGTAGTAATTTAAATGGACAAACATTTTGGACTTAAAAATTTGATCATCTTTCCGTCAGCGAAGCGAGGAGGACCCAACTGGTATAAACAAAACCAAAACCAAAACAAAAAGAAAACTGCGGTTATTAATCTTATTAAGATTTATTGTGAAAATACACAATTATGGCACAAGGCCGCGGTTATTAATCTTATTGCTGCCTTACCAAATATATAAAATCCAAAACACAATTTCATCAAAAATAATCAGTGATTTTTGATTACAAGTAAAAGCGATGTACGTTTATTGAAATGAATATAAGATGAAAAACGAAGCCCGTAAAATGTAGCCGATAGCTGCAATAATGTTTGAACAAGTAGATATTGTCAACCTGAGTTAGTAAAAGGTTTAACTACATGAAATTATCTTCGAAAATGCAATTACCAATTCAGCTTGAGTAAATAAGCTTTAGAAGACGGCTCTTTGTGGCCTGTCTATTAGCAGCGGAGAAGCAGGAAGAGCTTGACAAAAAACCGGAAGCTGACGCAAGGTGAGAACGTATAAGATAGATTCACATGAAACGGCACAGAGAGGAGGAAGAAATGAATGAGAGCTCAATGAGACTTTGCCTAATGCTAGATGATGTAATTTAATGTGAAATAAAAAGTGAGTAAATGTTATTGTTGAATATTTCTAGGTAATTATTTTATTTTAGTTTGAGAAATTAATTTATGTATATCACGTTTGGAATTTAATCATTTTCTTTTAATTTAAACATTTTTAGTGCCATGTATGATGGCTTGAGTAAGAAATATTTCTTTTAAGAAAGGAGATATTTGAAAAAAAATCAGGTAGCATAATAAAATAAAATACACTTATTTCAAGATAAATCCTTATATTTGCTATGATAAAGACCATCAGAGGACGAAACAGGTCGGTAAAGAATAGTTATCGTTTTATCTTTACATATATCTATATATATCCAGGTACAATGAGAACGAATAGAGTACAATTTCAACGTTTTATTTAAAAGAGATCTCAATACAGAGTAAAGCAACATTATTTATTTTAGGATATTACACCCCAAAACATGTAAAACTCGCTACACAATTGCAATCGTGTTTCAATGCATCTCATCAGGCGATTGTAAATTACTGGCGAGAGTATATATATATATATATATATATATATATATATATATATATATATATATATATATATATATATGTGTGTGTGTGTGTGTCGTGTTTGTGTGTATATATATATATATATATATATGGTTACAGAGAACTCAGTAGAGTTCCACCACCACGGAATTCCACCACGGAATATGTGAGCGAGCGGCGCTATATTGAGTCTGATTTGCAACCTCTTTGTCACCGAGGTCCAGTGGAACAGTTGGTATGATGTTTACTTGACAGCCTAACTGTCAGGGTTTCAATTCTCTTGGATGTGCACTGCTGATGAGTCCCAAATATAGGACGAAACGGCCGTGCAGTGCTTTCTGCATTCTGTTGAGATTTCTATCAGACTCGATGAATTACTTAAATATAATTATGAAATCCTCCTAATAATTACTATCTGTGTATATCATTGCTTGAACCGGCTTCTAATGCTGCTCTAGAGTGAGCGGCTTGGTGAGAGTAGTCGTGGCTCCTGGGGTGGGGGCACAGTCCTATGGTTACAGAGAACGCAGTATGGTTCCACCACGGAATATGTGAGCGAGCGGCGCTATGTTGAGTCTGATTTGGAATCTCTTCATCACCGAGGCCTATTTGGAACAGTTGGTATGATGTTCGCTTGACAACCTAACTGTCAGGGTTTCATTTCTGGGTAGTGGATGCGCACTGCTGATGAGTCCCAAATATAGGACGAAACGTCCGTCCAGTGCTTTCTGCATTCTGTTGAGGTTTCTATCAGACTCGATGAATTAATTAAAATATAATTATCAAATCCTCCTCATAATATATATATAGAAAAGATTGTATCCAAATTTGACGCATACACGCCTGGAGTAATCTTTTCTTACTTTCTCCTTCATTTTGGTTATGTTGTATTCCATTCCCTTCGATGACTCCAAGGTATCTATAGGCTTCTACTTGTTCCAGTTCCCTTTGTGACAAAATCTAAATCTATTGAATGTGTTTCTGTAATTTTCCCTTTCATGGATGTTACTTTTGCACGTTTATCTGATCTGAAATCCATACCGATGTCATAACTGAAACATTTTACAGTATTGAGGAGACCCTTCAACTCACTGTCGTCTTTGGAAAGGAGTTTGATATCATCCAAGTAGAATACATGATTAAACACTTTCTTTTTTACTTATTGTTTAGTTATATTATTATTATTAATATTATTACTATTATTCCATGATCAAACGTCTGTGATTAGTTAATTTTATTTTTAAAGAGTTGAATCTGGAGAGTACAAAAAGCTGATGGACTTTGAAATTGAACAACTCAAATGAGAAACGGCCACAAATTGTCTTATGTTTTAGAAAGAGAACTAGCAGTATGGCCCGATTTTTGCCCTTCCTTGCCTTTAAAGGAGTGCCCTTTGCCGTGTTGATGTTGCTACATGCCTTACTTCTTGCCTATCTCACACTGCGAATTTTTTCTAAGCTCTATACTAAACATTATATCGGTTACGAAAAAAGAACTAAACAAAATGAACAAAAAACGATCAGCTTTAAAAAAAAAGGACTCGTAATTGGAAAAACCGAATGAAAAAAGAATGTTAACAACAAATACTTTTTCACACTCAACCCAGTTCTGCTGAATCAGAATCAACGTTGAGTTTAAGCAAGCGAATGAGCCAATTAGAGTAAAGTGCCATGCAGATTTAAATTTTTCCCACTTGTGACGAATCAATTTCTTTTTTGCATGCTAGCATACTAGTTAACATTCGTGTCAGTCAGCTGTTGTCTCTCACGCTGGCCAATAGAATCTTCCTTCCTATTCGTGACAGCCAGCTATGGACTCTCACTCTGGCCAGTACAAAATGGCCGCAATCTACATGAAAACTGCCGTAGAAGCATGAAAATATCGATTATTTCCACTATCGATCGGAGTTGGGAAATGCAAAGTCAGTCTCGGCCTTCACGCTAACTTGGAGTATGTGCATGTAAATGTTTGGTGCAAATCCGTCGAAAATCGCGGCCGTGCATTCGTTACACACACACACACACACACACACACACACACACACACACACACACACACACACACATCCTGCCTTTTATAGATAGAGATACAAAGGTAAACAAATGAAACAGACACATATGATAAAAAAATGTGTTATAAAATTGATCAATCAAATTTACGCAATCATAAAAATCTTTGGTCGTAGGATCATACCTAAGGAGCTAGTCAAGTATGCTATTAGCACAGTGTAGTGAATTCGGTTCTTTCTGGGATCTCCACATTGGTTCTCTCGCACCAGACTAAACTATGATTAGAAAATAACTATACAGACACATTCATATCTCCAAAGACCCCCCCCCCGTCCGATAAACGATGTGGGAAGTTAAAGCAGTTTAAAAATGAGCTTTCTTATTTACTTGTAGTATGATGCGGGAAATATTTGGTGAAACACAGGAAATTCTACTTTACTTAACAATTAATACATGATCAGTTTGTTTTAATTCTATCTATCTATCTATCTATCTATCTATCTATCTATCTATCTATCTATTCATAAATCTCACTCTGTTCATATATATTTCTGTTTTTTCATATCTATCTATCTACAAGGTACGATCGATAAATTGTTGTCTAATAAAAATAACACTGACATCTCATTTTAACAGATATATTTTCCAAAATTACACCGAAATATTTTGAAATACTAAAGAGTAAATTTATTCAATAAAATTGCCATTGGATTCCACCACTGTCTTCAGGCGACTTCGGAATCTCCTGCATCTCATTTGGACGGCTTCCTTGTTTAAGTTGTTGAATGCTACCATAATTCTTGCCTTCAGTTCGTCTTTGGTATTACAAAGAGTTTTATTTACATTATTCGCTTTTATCCACTGTGCCATGTGTCCATGAGGCGTTGGTTAGATCCAGTGACAGGCTCCAAAGAGTGTGAGTTCAATACCCGGTTAAGGCAGTGGAGAACTTTCAGTGGGAAAATTAACAGGAGATAACTGATAACTGACATCCATTAAACATGGTACGTGGAACTAGAACAGTCTACCCCAATGAGCGAAATAAAGGCTTCAGTTCGACATTCCAACTACCTGAAGAAGGCCGGAGTGTACAACGGCCGAAACATTGTAATAGATATGGCGTCAGAGATGAGGACAATAGTCCGAATAATGCAAATAATGTACCTCATCTCAGAAATATAGACAGATACAAAGAGTTTTGTTGATCTCATGCTCAACTGCATCTTATATATAATAATCAATGGGGTTTCAGTCTGGGGAGTTAGGTAGCTAGACATAAGGGGTGATGTGGTCGCAGAAAGTGTCTGACAGCCAGGTTCCCCTGCTTGTATGGAATGGTGCAGAGTCCTGTTACTAGATATACGGTCTTCCAGCAGCCATCCTCTTGAGCCAGGGCAGCACTACCAACCCGAATCACTTGATGTAGGCCTCCGTGTTGAGTCTGAAGCCCTAGCCAACAGATCCAGGAGTTCTTTTCTTATCAGATTGATCAGCGAATTTTCCGAGCTGCCATATCACAATTAGACTCATTCAACTCTTTCCGAATCCTCTGCACTGTCCTCAGATTGAGATCAAACACTCTGAAATTGTTTGTATTGGAGATTCCGGTGTGAATACCAAGCAGTACAGCATGCCGAGTCCAAATTTCGGAGGGCGGGGGGAGTGAAACGTGTTATGATGCTCTTTTTCTCACAGAGAGTGCCCAACTGACCCTACAATAGTGTGCAGTCGACAAAATTAAAAACAAACAACGCGTATACGCGAAATTAAAAATATAAAATAGAAAAAATCTACCCATAGCACCTTGTATCTATCTATTTCAGTTTTTTCACATCTCTCAGTTCAGTCGTTTCAGATATATTTCATTCTTTTCGTATCTATCTATCTATCTATCTATCTATCTATCTATCTCGGTGAGTTCATATCTATTTATCTATCTATCTATCTATCTATCTATCTATCTATCGATTTCAGGATTTTCATATCTGTTGCTATATATTTCTGTCATTTCGTATCTATCTATCTATCTATCTATCTATCTATCTATCTATCTATCTATCTATCTATTCCAGGCTTTTCATATCTCTCGGTCTGTTGCTATATATTTCTGTCTTTTCATATCTATTTATCTATCTATCTATCTATATATATTTCAGTCTGTTCACATTTCTTAGTCCTTTCATATATAGTTAAGTCTTTTCGCATCTATCTATCTATCTATCTATCTATCTATCTATCTATCTATCTCAGTCAATCCATACCTATTTATCTTTAAAGTACACACCTCATAATCTATCAAAGAAAAAATTCTATCCTCAATAGTTCTTTTTAGATATCATTCTTTTCTATGACAGAAGATAAACAAGTTATAATAAGTGTTCATTTTTTTTAAAAGATTTACTTCATGGTGATATATTAGCTTAATCTCAATGGTATTTTGTACATGTGAAAGCAAATAAACATGTTTTTGAACAAGGAGGAAAATTGAAAATAGATGAGTATTTATGGTTCACCAACGCAACATTGTTATTGACTTTCACTCCTTATTGACATCACTTTGTTTTACTCAATCCCTTGATTATGAATGGAACGAATACTTTAACTTTAGCTAATGTTAAATTTAAAAATAAAGGCATCACTGCAACAAAAGTAAGTAAAAATGCTTGTTATATAATTATGCAACGGAGATCTTTTTCTATGGGTTATTCCCAATTTTCTGTCCTTTGTGGTTCATAGCAAAGCTTGTTGGCTAGAAGAATAGGATGAGGAAAGCTAGTAAAGATACTATCTTTCCTCATCCTCTTCTTCTAACCCTTTACACCAGTTCATTAGGCAGGTTATACGCCACTTTATTTTGTTCCTCTTTTCTTTAATAATATACTTTGAGTGTCACAGTTTTCTAAGCTCTCATTATGATTCCTAAAGATTCCAGCTGTCACTTTCTGATTATAAGTATAAGTGTCCATTTTTGTTACCATTTTCTGTAAAACTTCGCCGTTGCTCACATGTTCGGTCAATGGTAGTCTCAGCATCCTCCTGTAGAAACACATTTCTAATATTTCAAGTTTACTTCTTCGTCTCTTATAAAATTGCCCAGCATTCACTGCCATAGAGGAGGACCCATCTTGAATAACAGTTCAATAACCTTTTCTCTGTTTCTAACGAAATTTTCCTTTTTCCATTCACTTTACTTAGTTTATTTTGCTATCCAAATCGCCCTCCTCTTTTGTGGAACTCTCTTCCGGTTTCTCGATTTCTCTTCCGGTTTCTCTCTTCCGGTTTCTCTCTTCCGGCTTCTCGATTTCTCTTCCGGTTTCTCTCTTCCGGTTTCTCTCTTCCGGTTTCTCGATTCCTCTCTTCCGGTTTCTCTCTTCCGGTTTCTCGATTTCTCTTCCGGTTTCTCTCTTCCGGTTTCTCGATTTCTCTTCCGGTTTCTCTCTTCCGGTTTCTCTCTTCTCGTTTCTCTCTTCCGGTTTCTCGATTCCTCTCTTCCGGTTTCTCGATTCCTCTCTTCCGGTTTCTCTCTTCCGGTTTCTCGATTTCTCTTCCGGTTTCTCTCTTCCGGTTGCTCGATTTTCAGTAAACGTTGATCTTCGAAAATTTAAATGCAATGTAAATCTTTTTGACTGTTTCCTTAATACATGTTCTTTTATCGTTCTTTCTCAATAATGTTTTTCTTGTTCTCATATTCGTTCACAGTAATTATCTCCTTATTATGTTTTAGTGGCTTTATTGCCTTGCTTGGAGTGAAATGATTAAAATAAAATCCCGAAAAATAGAACTCAATATAAAGCTTTCCAAAACAGAAACTATGATCTGAATTTGGAATGAAAGCAATGATGGCACTTACCCTGAATCCATCAACACAATTCAGGATGTGAAATTAGCAAATACTAAACGCTTCAAATGCCTCGGTGTATGGATCAGTTATAGTAAATTTAATATAAAAAATATGGCTGATGCTCGAATCGAGGAGAGCGTCTCACAGCGCCTTCTTGGTCTCACGTCTTCGACCAACTTGAAATGGAACAACTACATTGAATCGATAGCTGCATCTATTGCTAGGAAAATTGGTTCATTATGTCGTGCCAGAAGGTTTTTTTTTTCTCGTGAGAGTCCATCCTCCACATCTACAAATCTACCATGCTTTCTTGCATTGAATACTGTTGCCATATCTGGTCTGGTGCTCCTGCTGTTCATCTCGAGGTTATTGACAAAATCCAAAGAAGAATGTGCAATATAATCGATCCTGACTTGGCATTTCGATTTCAGTCACATTCTCGCAGATGTGATGTGGCTTCCTTCTGTCTTTTTTACAAATATTTTCTTGGAAACTGCCCAGACGAAATTTTTTTTCCTGGTACCCTGACTACACGAATTTAAGCATGCTACTAGATAGGCATTTAGGTTCCACCATTTTACTACTGAATTAGTTAAATGTTATCGCGACTTCTACTGCAACAGTTTTTTTTTCTCGCACTTCTCGCCTTCCACTTACTTCCCTGATAGCTATAATCTCCAGGTATCTAAATGTAACGGTAATGGCCATATTCTGATGTCTTGAACCCCGTTCATCTTTTATCTGTTGAAACTTGACTAATGCATGGAATAATAATGCAACACAAAAGGTACTTAGAACAAAATGTATTGAAACAAGAAAGTGTACACAATATTTACATATAGTCTTTTGTATATTCCTGGTATGACCGTTCCTGGAGAATGTGTTGACTGAGTCGCAGTCGGGCAGAGTCTCTGGTTGAATCTCTTGATTCCTCCCTCTTTTCCCGTTACCAACCATATTTATATGGTCGGTACTCCACTATGCAAATTAGGTGGATCCTACCACAACATTATCCTTTCCTCAATCCCCCTCCCATGCTCATTCTTTTCTCTCACTTTCACTCTCTGTAACCCTATGCATACTAGTGGCATACCCACCTTGCTTGGGGTGAATTACTTACAAAAGAAAAGAAACTGAACATAGAATAAACTATACTAGAGGTAGTTTTGCCAAATATTTCAAGTAGCCAGAAATCCACATCAACCTAAGAACTTATATTCTTAAATAGCCTCATTAGATCGAGACTTTCATATGGACGTCATGCATAATCAACTTACTGATGGTCTCACACTACTTCAAACAAAAGGTTAGCAAGGAAGTCCCTGTCAATACTGTAAAGAGTAATAACAGCTTGGGGACAAGAGAAACCTATTTTTCTTAAAAATCTTTTAATAGAAAAACTTTATAAATTCAACAAAGAGCAGCACTGGTTGCTGGGTCAATGAATGCTGAATGTTTCCTTATAAAGAGACGGCTGATATTACCATTACCATTTACTTTTCAAATCGTATACTCTTCATGTTATAAAATAAATATACTACTCGTGATGGAATGGTACATAATATCTAAAGATATTAAGGTCTCGAGTAACAATGTATATATGTGAACTCCTGACCTCAAAATGGTTTTACTCGAAACCTTAAGCCTAAACATAGAAGAGCGGATAGAAATTAATTAATAAATATAGGGCAATACACTGAAATTCAAAGGTGCATTGGGATAGCGAAAATGCCTTTCAAAAGTTAAGTAAAGTATTAAGAAACAGAAAATAATTGTTAAAAGCAAAGAAAAGGATGCTTAACAGATACGTAATATCAGTACTCGAATAGTGCAGTGAATACTGAAAAATCTTCTCAAGGATGAAGAAGAGACGATACAATAGAATTGTAGTTCTGCAGAAGGATACTGAGAATACCATGAACTGAACGTGTGAAAAAAAGCGAAGTTTTAGAGAAAATGGCAACAAAAAGGATACTTCTGCTTAATACCAGAAAGCGTTGAAATTTATAGGGCAAATAATGAGATAAGAGGGCTTGGAAAATTTAATATTCAAAGGACAGATGGATGGCAAGAAGAACATAACAGAAGCAATGTTTAACTTACCTAGCGAGCATGAGTAAATTGATGGCAGAACAGAGTTTAGGAGAGATAACAAAAAGACAGAAAAATTATTAAGGCCGGCAAAGGACATGAAATTGTGGAGAGCCATGATCCTGAAGGAACACTGTCCATAGAAGAAAAATAATCTCTGGTTACAATCCCATACGCACATTTAAGTGTACCTACCCGAAAAATTCTTCTGAAGAAATCTTCTCCAATGAAACTACTGTTGCGAATTAATCTTGTCCACATTGTTATCTCCTTTCAATCTTAACAGTGCGTCAGTTTCAGTTTAATTGATCTTGTCCAGGCAAACTGGATAAATTAACCGATATTTCCTCACTGTGCCTTCGTACAAGACGAGGTCATATGTGTGTAGAACACAGTGAGAGTTAAATTCATTTCAATGCTAACTGTCTGCGAAACTTACTTCCTGTTGCTCCATGACGTAAACTTCCAAAGGCAATTAAACACAATTTCTAATACATAAACTCTATCTAAGCAGAGTCATTTCAGTTGATATTTTACACGGTATACAGTATTCTCACTCTATTAATATCTATCTATCTATCTATCTATCTATCTATCTATCTATCTATCTAAGGCTATTTCTGTCCTATCTTAATGTATTTCACTTCTATTTCAGTCTGTTTCTATCTATCTCAGTCTATTAATTACTATGTATCTACCCAAGTCTGTTCATATATATATATATATATATATATATATATGTATATGTGTGTGTGTGTGTGTGTGTGTGTGTGTGTGTGTTATATCTATCTCAGTATATATCTATGTAGCTATCACAATCTATGTATGTACCTTTTTATCCATATCAGTATATTCATATCTATCTATCTATCTATCTATCTATCTATCTATCTATCTATTCATTTCATTTTCTCCCTATCTTTCTAACTTACTCGTTTCTTTCTTTCTTTCTTTCTTTCTTTCTTTCTTTCTTTCTTTCTTTCCCCTTCTCACTTTCTCTCTCTTTCTATCGTAACATATTCGTTTCTTTCTTTCTTTCTTTCTTTCTTTCTTTCTTTCTTTCTTTTTCTTTTCATTTTCATTTTTTCTCCCATTTTCTTTCTAACCTAACCTAACTTCTTTCTTTCTTTCTTTCTTTCTTTCTTTCTTTCTTTCTTTCTTTCTTTCTTTCTTTCTTTTCCCCTTCTCACTTTCTCTCTCTTTCTATCGTAACATATTCGTTTCTATCTATCTATCTATCTATCTATCTATCTATCTATCTATCTATCTATCTCGGCCTATTCGTTTCTATGTCAGTTTATCCGTGTCTATCTGTTTCTTTTTATTTCAGTCTTTTAGATATTTTAAGACGAATTTACTTGTACGATAATAATTTTTATAACTAGGAAATAAATTTGGGAATAATTGAAATTAATTGCGAAAGACACCCATGAAATAAAAAATAATCGTTTCTACACAAAGTAAGGATCTACGTGCATCAAACTGTCTTTAAATTAAGTGACGCAAGAAGAATTATCGTTGAATTTTTAAAAGTTAAGCTTAAATATTAATGCAATACTTAAATGCAGTGATTAATTTTGAGTCCTGTAGTCTATTATTGCCTATCGCATACGGTGGCAGTATATCTCACAAAAAGAAATCTCCGCCAACAGAGGACCAGATTGCAATCAAAAGAGCCAAGGCTGCAGCGAGGAAAAGAAAGTCCCGTACAAATGAAAACCCAGATCAAACGGCAGACAGGAGAGTTTTCAATGCTGAGAATAAGTAAAGAATTATGGACTCTCAAGCTCTGAACAAGCCGAAGGCCCAATCAAGAGCCCTCCACAGGAGCTAGTTTAAATGCTACTCGATATGGTAGCTTTTTAATATATATATATATATATATATATATATATATATATATATATATATATATATATATATTTATATAGATATACATTATTTTTAGCAGATATACATATTTGAGTAGACGCTCCGATTATTCATTACTAGCAGCATGGTCCGGCGTTGCCCGGGCTTGATTCAAAAATCGTACGACTCATACAGCAATCGCTATCACTTGACTTAAAATATTTTTTGCCCTTCCTTGCCTTCAAAGGAGTGCCCTTTGTCGTGCTGATGTTGCTACATGCCTTACTTCTTGCTTATCTCACACTGCGATTTTTTTCTAAGTTCTATACTAAACATTACATCGGTTACGAAAAAAGAACTAAACAAAATGAACACAAAACGATCAGCTTTAAAAAAAAAGGACTCGTAACTGGAAAAACCGAATGAAAAAAGAATGTTAACAACAAATACTTTTTCACATCCAACCTAGTTCTGCGGAATCAGAATCAACGTTGAGTTTAAGCTAGCGAATGAGCCAATTGGAGTTAAGTGCCATGCAGATTTAAATTTTTCCCAATTGTGACGAATGCAGCTATCAATTTTTTTGCATGCTAGCATACTAGTTAACATTCATGTCAGTCAGCTATTGGCTCTCACGCTGGCCAATAGAATCTTCCTGCCTATTCGTGGCAACCAGCTATAGGCTCTCACTTAGGCCAGTACAAAATGGCCGCAAACTACATGAAAAGTGCCGTAGAAGCAAGAAAAAATCGATTATTTCCATTATCGATGGGAGTTGGGTAATGCAAAGTCGGCCTTGGCCTTCCCGCTAACTTGGAGCATATGCATGTAAATTTTTGGTGCAAATCCGTCGAAAATTGCGGCCGTGTATTCGTTGCACACACACACACACACACACACACACACATCCTGCCTTTTATAGATAGAGAAACAGTATATTTTCGTCTACCGGCGGGAACATACGAGAAATCTTATTAAAGAAAAATATGTGCTCTCCAGAAGGACTCGAACCTTTGTTCAACTCCGGTAAACCATCATTAGATCCGACGTGATTTCAGGACGTAAGTAATCACGGCTCTCCACAGATTCCTGTGAATTCGGAATTATGATTTTAATTCGAAAATATAGTGGAGTGGTTTATTCTTTATGTTTTTTTTTTTAATTCAGAGTTGTCCTCCAGTGGCTGAAATACAAGTCTAAAGGAACCCAGTCTGACCTGACATTTAAAAGGAAGTGGAGGAGGGCGTTAATATGAAGTAAATATGACAAGTTCGTTTTTTTTAAGTCACCCCAAGCAAGGCGGGAGTGTTACTAGCACGCAAGGGGTTACAGTGGATTGAGAACAAGAGTAAAGGGGTGGCATGTTTGAGGAAGGGATACAGAGAAGGACGGGGAACAATCTCAGGGTGTCAGATGTCGATTGACAGTGCCCTTGAATATTTGAAGATTATAGTCATCGGGGAAGCAAGTAAGGAGAATGATAAAATTTCAACTCGACTTGCTAATTCCATTTTCGGCGTCGATAACCGCAACGCTACCTACACACCTATGCAAATGACAGAAAAGTGAAGTTAGTGAATAAAATGAAAGAGAAAAATATCGTACAGAAATTAACTGACAAGTAGTGACGAGCAAATAGAAAAAAAAACTTAATTGAGTGAAAGTAAAACTGGGAAAAAGAAAACAAAAAATAAATCAAACAAACCAAAATAAAAATAAAATAAAAAAATAAAATAAAAATATATAAAAAAAACATTAACTATGGGAATAAATCCAGAAGTTTCTTTCTGCTACAGCCAACAGAACTCTGACAATTTTGTCATGTCTTTTTATCCATTTTCCATTCAACGTAATTTTTATGTAGACACTCATAATCATCTATATATGAACATTATTATTGATCTCCAAACAGTTACTTCTCTAAGCTCTGTACACCACAAAGATTATGTTGCGCCAATATTTCAAGAAGGACAGAACCTATTTAACTTGGAACTAAGCATCGAGATCTTAGCTTTTAACTGGTCTCGAAAATTAGTTTTTATCACCAGAGGAAACCCTTGAAATTCAGATCGTTTCGAAGACAACAGGTAAATATTCCAAATTCTTTCCCAAGAATAAATGGCAAATTCCAGATAATAAAGAAAAGGAAACCGTAAAGAATCCTGACCTCTCACGTCATGAAATTACAAGACAAATTTAAGAGAAGTATTTGTATTTCTGGAATTCATCCTTTTCTTCATCTATCGTTCTAAACTTACGAAGGTAAGTAAAAAAAATTAAATACAATCTTGTTTACAGATATGGCGAAAGAGCGGCTAACTTTTAACTTATCCTCATATTTTGGAGACATTAGAATTAAACATTGTTTATTTTTTCCATTCATAACTTACGTCGAGACATTTCCTATTTAATTAATTTAGTATTCCTTGAAATAGTAGGGTAGACCCGGCTTTCGAGCTTTGGTTGTCAACCAATTTAAGAGAAGGAAAAATGTGAATTTTAAACCGTGGAGAAAATAACAGGAAGGCAATCCATTATCTTTCTCATGACAATGGAGATAACAAGGAAAAGGAATATTTGAAGAGTACTGATTGTCTATGTTTTGAAGGGACACGGCAATAAACAAAATCGTCAGGAGAAAATAGCCTGCAATCCTCCAACATTATTATTATTATTATTATTCAAGAAGGAGACGATGATTTTAAGATTTATTGGTCGTAATTCTTATTGCGTGTGCGGTATGATGTAATGGATATCGGCTCAAAATGAGAAATCGTAGAGCCGAGTTCGAATTCTACTTGGGTTCGTTACATTCACTTATACGTAAATACATGCGGAAAAAGAATGAATCCACCTCGTCTTCCCTTAACTATAGGATGAATAGCAAGACAAACTGGATCCTATAGCCTTGGTTGGCAACCAGTCTACCACAGAAAGAAACGTTAACCTACCCCAGAATGACTAATCTCTATCTATAAAAGGCAAGATGTGTGTGTGTAACGAGTGCACGGCCGCAATTTTCGACTGATTTGCACTAAAATTTACATGCACATGCTCCAAGTTAGCGGGAAGGCCAAGGCCGACTTTGCATTTCCCAACTCCCATCGATAGTGGAAATAATCCATTTTTTCATCCTTCTACGGCAGTTTTCATGTAGTTTGCGGCCATTTTCTACTCGCCAGAGTGAGAGCCTATAGCTGGGTGCCACGAATAGGCAGGAAGATACTATTGGCCAGCGTGAGAGCCAACAGCTGACTGACACGAATGTTAACTAGCATGCTAGCATGCAAAAAATCTCGATAGCTGCATTCGTCACAACTGGGAAAAATTTAAATCTGCATGGAACTTTACTCCAATTGGCTCATTCGCTTGCTTAAACTCAACGTTGATTCTGATTCTGGGTTGAGTGTGAAAAAGTATTTGTTGTTAACATTTTTTTTTCATTCGGTTTTTCCAGTTACGAGTCCTTTTTTAAAGCAGATCGTTTTGTGTTCATTTTGTTTAGTTCTTTTTTCGTAACAGATTTAATGTTTAGTATAGAGCTTAGAAAAAATTCGCAGTGTTAGATAGGCAAGAAGTAAGGCATGTAGCAACATCAGCACGTCAAAGGGGACTCCTTTAAAGGCAAGGAAGGGCAAAAATATTTTAAGTCAAGTGCTAGCGATTGCTGTATGAGTCGTACGATTTTTTAATCAAGCACGGGCAACGCCGGACCATGCTAGTCAGTCATAAATCAAAAGAGACATGATCGTTCAAGTGTATATCACGTATGTCCCTTAATTGACAAACTGATCGTAATTAACGGTGAACAAACTAAGGAAGATAATCTAATAGAGAGGAAAAACAAGTTGAAATTCAAATATAAATTGTCCAACGTCTAGGCGCTTTTATTTTATTTTTTTATTTTTACTTTTTTTTTTTTTTTGATGTGTGATGGATGACGGATTATGTCGTAGAAAGGAGAGACTTATGTTTGAAAGCAAAAAATGGAACAAAGCTGAAATCGAAAGAAGAAATACGAAGTATGGAAAGTGATACACGCGGAATAAAGTAGACAGATATTTCTATTGAGCGACAAGGCCTGAATAGGTGATACTTTTTACGGTTTATCAAGATTTTGCGGTTTATTTAAAACCGAAACATATTGTGGATTGCAAGAATAATTTTTGACGAATGAATATTTCATTAACAATGTTTCGAGAGTAACAATTATTTTTCAGATACAAATCCTACTATTTAACCTATTGTTAGGGGGGCAATGGAT